TGTACAAACTGACGAAAGTAAGTGGCTTAACAGATAGATGCTTAGATATCATTAGTTTTACAAACTGTAAAAAAATGACAGATACAATTTCCTCTTTCTCCAAAAGTTTGTAAAAATGTTGTTTAAATCAACGGAGCAATCCTCATAATTAAGTGTTTGATTTGAAAACAAATTATATCGTTTTGACTAAAACAATTTCAGTTAGTAGAATAAACATTATAGGCTCGGTCTTCTTTTTTTTCATTTCCTATTCTGTATCATCTAAATTAACACTTTCCAAGCTTTGCCTTGTGTCCTGTCCTGCTTGGCCTCATTTCCTGTTGTCCTGCGTTGCTGTGTCGTGTGGAAGATGCGGTCAATAATTATTTCCTTTCCTTGTTGATCTAGCTTTTCATATTTCGTTTGGAAAAATCTATCAAATAGTCATAACCTAAGGATATCCTTAGAATATGTAAACATGTAGGTTTAAATAGAACACATGCATTTAGAGATGATTTACAGGAATATGAATACATGTCCTTAAGACAGAATTATTTTTGTTGCCTCTAGAAATTATGGGAGACCTCCTCACTTACAAACTATCGATTAAATAGCATCCCACTACTTGATGAAAACATAATATTCGCAGTTTGCCCAGCAATCGCATTTTTTCGACCTTTTCCGTCAAACTCAGGATAAAAACCTCGAACACAATCACACTTTGTATAATTTGAATGTATATTATATTTATGTGTTTTGGCTGGTGGCCATATATCGCAAATAAAAGTATATTATTAAGATAATAAGATAACCTCGAACACATATTTCCCTAAGAAACTGAACATCTAATGCTAGGAGATGTTGACCATGTTTATTCAAGTATATCGAGTGAAAGTCCACCTAAATTAACAGTACATTATTTATATAGTTATTATTATGGTTGTAGAAACTAGAACTACAAGATGTCTGATTCAGATGTGATTTTAATTGTACATTAGTAGGCTTTTTAAAATTGAATAAGATTGTAAGACATATTTTCATTCATTGTGTGCTAAGAGAAAATATTAAGCTTCGCAGTTTAGAAAACTGTTAAATTCATTAATATAATTATAGTAAAAAACGTAACACAAAGATTTAAAAGTTTGAATGATTAACTGCTCACTACGGGTGCCGTCTGGATAAGCCTAATTAACAAGGTTCCGGGATTTATCAATTACAGTGCAGTGACAGTCAGTTAAAAATCATTTTTGGTGCATGATAGGGGAAATACCTTAATTGATTTATATTTAAAAATTAAACGGCATGTAGAGCAATTAGTTGATGTATTTTGGAAACTATTTACCGGAAATGCATAATTTGTATATGAATGAGCTTTTCTCAAACTTTTAGATACATACTTAAACTCACAAAAACTGCAATCGGCATAACACACATTTTCAGCGTTTCCAGTCGGTTTTAATCGTCAATGTTATGAGATGATAAACGTTAACGAGAAAATGTAAAAATAAAATGTTTAACATTGACAATATCCAGAAATGATAAAGGGCGAAATTAAATATAACACAGTTTTCAATATAACACATATCAGTCGGCATTTCACTTACACAGGCTTTTTTGAACGTCGAGGATATCTTACCTCGAAACTCACCTTCTTCATTTCTGCTATCGCGCTAAGCTGTAACTGGTTTTTCTTTTTAAACAGGTTGCTGATTGTGCATGCCGTTTTATAATTGGTAGTATCTTGAAACATAACTTGTCAGATGTTTTGTTCAAGTCACTATGGATTGTCAATAATACAGAAAAAACTAGATGCTCACCTTTTTAGTTTAATGATAAAAGCAGTCTTACTTATTCAAGTTGGTGTCCAATTAGCGTGTTAATTCAATGCAGTTGATCCTGAAAGATCACTTTTCATAATAGCATGGAACCTTTTTTTATTTAAATTTCGCACATTCTATTTCAAGATGTATAAACATGTTAAATGGATCATTATATATTTCATCTCCTATGTTTGTAAAATATATTTCATATTCACTTAAGATCACTTTACATGGCATATAATTCCGATTATTACAAAGAGTAATAAATTATAAAGATAATTTTACATTGGTTTTATTCTTATGTACATTTTGTATCGTACTTTAAACTTCATTACACACGTTTCTGTGATAAAAAATATATAATTTAAAATGTTTTGTATATGCACTTAATATTTCATAATGTTGAAACTTGATCCTAAATAGAGGATATTGAATGAGTGTAATTTAATTCTAAATTTATTCAACGAGTTGAATAAAATCATATTTATCGAGCCTCTGGTGAAAAATGGTAATTTTTACCTTTAAATGGGGGAGTTTGAGGTGCTAAATTAATCTGTGATTATTTTTCACGCGAGTTCTCCAAGTATATAGAAAAGTTTTTACACAGAAATCCGTAACGTTTTCAAGGAACTCCAAACAAGTTATCATAAAAACTCCATCCTTCGTGTAACAGTTACTCCCTCTTGTAATTGATATCATAAAATAAAATATTATCGATTATCGATAGCACAGATCTAGCACAGATCTATCGATAGCACAGATCTATCGTAGATAAAAAAAAATGCCCACCATTTTTTTTAACAATCGGAGCCTCAATTTGTGTTGTTTATAGTTTATTATGCGTACTATTTGAAACTATTTCAAAGTATCTTAAATGCATTGAGTTTACTTATCACGTGTAAAAAACGCCATAAGTATTAAAAAATACTTACATATTAAAACAAAACAAATCATTGTGTTACAAACAATATTGTTCTATAGTTTGGAGACATTTCTATTCAAAATGTATTTAATCGTGTTACCATACATCTACAGTGTGCTAAATGGAGGTAAGGTATTAGTTAACTGCCCTCGGGTAATGTGTGACATTGGTTTCGTCATTCTAGCCTTTCATACTGTGACGACAGGGGAAAGTGTCTTTTTTTTGCCTACGATACCAAAGTAAAAGAACATCAAACCACTTAGCAATTTGATTGTTATTATGAGGTTACACCCCTCTTGTAAAATAGAGATACTCTCGTGTGTCGATACTTTTTCTATTACAGAATCATGTAGACTATTTTGTTACCTTCAAATGATTGATATATTTGCTGTCAAAAGACCATTGTTAATTCATGACGTATATTTGCTTGCTTAAAAATTCCATCTTAGTTTATGCATCATTTAATATAGAATATAGACGTTCAATACACAGTCCCAACACACAGTATAATAAAAGTTTTATCTTAAAAATCCTACCGTTCATTAATCAAATAAAATAAGCGATATACGAGTATATGAAATGTTAAATAATTATATAATTATGAAAAATGGGGGTTCAGTGAAAAATATTAAAACACTTTTTTGATATACGATGAATTTCTCATAGTTAATTGTCATATAAAATATGTTGAAATTACTATGCTTTTCATATTTTGTAGATTAATACCTAGAGAGGTCTTCTAACTTTGCAATAAATTGAGGATCGCCTAGACGGAAGTCACCTGTTTGAATAAATTTTCAATCATTTGTTCATATTTGATGAGAACGTACCTTATGTGTTCCTCTATCTTCTTGCTATAATTTGGTATCCATAAGTGTAGTTATGCACTTTCTAGCAACACATTTTATCTGAGAATAATTTGAATCTAATTCGTACGTACAAATTGTCAAATAGTAGGGACACATTTTCTGTCCTTTGCAACTGAGATTTTGCAACTCCTCTGACAATTTAGTAATTTGTCTCATTTTTAAATTTTCCAACTGAATAATTAAAATTTTTGTTTTCATTTTGTTTAAGAATTCATTAAATAACTTTAATGTAAAGTAAAAACAGAGTAAAGTTTGCGAGACATACGTATATGTTAACAATCTCCGGAGTGTATTTCTTTCCTTTCACAGGTCTTAGAATTGTCAGATCATACAGTTATTTTAATCTCTGTTTTTTTGTGTGGAAAATTTAGAACAATCATAAAATGATGAATATAGTTACATTACAAACGCAAATCATTTCACTAATAATTTACATGTATATGTTATTGGTTTCGGTGTCTTACATCTAAAAAATAGAGAAAAACAGAATCCCTAAAGAAATCCCCACACGGCAAAATTGAAAATGCTGCAGACTCGATTTGATTGGGCCTATTCATAAGTCATATTACCTCAAATAATGAATACATAAATGGCTTGCTGTAAATATAGTATTCAGCGAGTTTAATTATACTTCCAATAGTCCTTTTACTATCACAGAATCGCAAATGTTCAAACAAGTTATGCACATTATATATATGTCAAGGTCATAGATACAATATTTTAATGCATCAAATTGAAATAATCACTGAATAAAATATAAACTTTATCTAGCAATTTGTATACCACCTCTTTGAAATCACGTTATGTTTACAATATGTAGTAAGATCAAGAATTCAAGATTTGCATTTAAATTGTAATAAATGGTACAGTTACAGAGATTACTTATTTTTATGACAATCTCAATACTACTTTGCTTACATTTTGCTACTTTCAAGACAGATAGATTCAATTTCACAACATAGTCATGTTGATAAGTCATTTGGTTTATTCTTTTGCTCCCTTAAAATCTGATGAAACTTTTCCTTGTATTTATCGATTAACAAACAGGAATTACACAAGTTCCACTGGATGATAATTGTAAACAAACAACCTTTTTCAATCCACACGTACATTTTTTCTGAAAAGTCATGTGTTGAAGGATTCAAACTGACGGTTCTTGTTTGGCTTGTGTTTGATATTATAAAATAATAACTACTTTATTGAAACTTTTGTGGGAATTCTCTAAATAATACAAACCTCAGAACATAACAATGACACTTCATATACTCTTGAATACAAAGACAAACCGTAGTATATATGTTAAAAATCACCAAAATTGATTCATCTAACTAAAGTTCAATAAATAGGCATAATTCAAAGTCATCAAACATTACCATTATCGATGGAGCTATAATCCAATAAAATACGACATTGATTTCATTGTAATTTTATTTTTTGATTTCATTTTCATAAAAAAAAACAGAATGCATACAATGTCTTATTCAATGGTAACAAATCCAAATAACGATTACGCTCTAAAATGTAAATTCATGTTTTACATTCCTTGTCTTAGATATTTCGCCATGTTTCCTGAATTGATAAAAACTATACATCAAGTTTGTATAATGACATTGTTATTCATTTCAAGTTTGTTTTACATGTATTAACATATACCAAAGTCAATTATCTTTCCAAGATCAATTGGAACAGTTCGTTTACAGTAGTATATGATATATTGAGGAAATTAAAAATAGTTTGAACCAGACAAATTCTTATCTTAAGACAGGCCGAATTCGTCATTATGTTGCTCAGGGTATTACATATAGTTTATCAACAAAATGACTTACACAAACGAAATAAGCAAATGTCACAATTGTAATAAGCATAGATAGAAATGTATAATTATACTTAAATTACAAAATTACACCGAAGAAAAGAATAATGCTTCTGAAATGTTATTTTGTTGTGAGTTGTTGCGTTTCTTTTCCAGTAAGTGATTTTTTGAACACGCAATATTAAGGTCGCATGGCGGCTTTTAAGCTTGACCTGTGTAAGAAGACTGCAGGTGCCTATCCGTGCATATGTAAGACCTTCGACTGTCCGTTATCCTAGAATACAAGTCTATCTCTTTCAAATAATCAATTATGTTTTTTGATGGAATTGTATAAAAGAGTTCTTTGAGTGAATTTACAGAATAAAATCTATTACGGGCCTGTGAAAAATCATGACTGTCGAGCATTTTCTTCTTGAATGTCATGAATTTTCACAGGCCCGTAATAGATTTTATTCTGTAAATTCACTCAAAGAACTCTTTAATACAATTCCATCAAAAAACATAATTGATTATTTGAAAGAGATAAACTTGTATTCCAGGATCTAATTGGCTCATTTCTATTGTCATTTACAAAGTTTTACATAACTTTTAAGCCTATTATAGCATTCGGCACGATATGGCCAGTTATGTGTTGACGTGCCGTAAAAATCCAAACAAACAAACAAAACTGTCCGTTATCTGTCTGGGCGACTTCCTTACTGATGATATAATTTTTATATTGAATCTGTAGAAGCATGTCTGATAACGATAATGGTTGGATACTGCTCCAAAATTAAATGACGTGAAATACAGCATGATCACGGTTCTGTGATTTTAATGACTAAAAAGTAACAATTGGTTAGTTAAAGTATGAGGTCACGTTTCTTACATCATTCTATATTTATTTAAATCATGTGCAGAAATAACATCTGCAAGCTATTCTTATTTCAAACATTAAACAGCTGCAAGGACATACATGTATACAGTGGCATTCATAATGAATTTAAGTTCTTAACGAAGCTCGTGGACGACCACATATACGCTATATATTACATAACGATTCACCAAGTGATGTATATGATTTTAATTAAAGCTTTTCTGATTTTGATTAAACAATAACTGTTTACTTTAACTAAACTTAGTAACATACACAATGTCGTTTGTCTTAAGCATACTATCCTTATTCTTGATATTGTGTGCAAGTATGCAAGCATTAAAATGAAAATCAGAAACATGCCAGTGGTTAATCTATTCTTATCGTTATACCAATATTTATACGGTCGATGTCTTGCTTTTGTAATTGTATACGTTCATATATATGTATTTAGACATTTGAAAATAAAAGATGTCACTCATAGGTAATTAGTACCACATGCAAAATGAACAATGGAAGTGATAAAAACCATAACCTTGTCAATAGGACACACAGTTAACAAAACACTTAAAATATGTATTTGGAATAGGCATATGACAGCTAACAGCGAGTAAAATGTATCTTTTTCATTAGTACGTAAAACATGTAACTCATTAAACTTAGGTTCACATCAATCTGATACATATGTAATTAATAAACAACCTTTTAAAAGCAATGTGATGTGGTTTATATATTACTTTCAGCATGTAAAGTTCTAAACTAACAATGAAAACTTTGATTTCAAATATGTTCAAATTTTATTTTTTTCCGTTGGTGTTAAACTTTTTCGACGATCCTTTCCTAAACACTTCATGTTTGTTTCTGAGGAAATCGTCGGAATCGCCAAACTGGAAACGCTCTGACTATTTTTGGACTGATGCAACCCTTTTTTCTTCATGTGTCTTGGTAGCGAACTGTCTGATCCTTGATGATATACACTAGGAGTGCTTCTGCTTCTATCATTTTTGCGAAGTTGTTTTCCTACATGCTTACCATTAGGTTTTTGTCCATTTGAATGAAGATCATAAAGAGGAAGGGATATAACGGATTCCCTTTGCTTACGCCTCTTTTTCCTAGCTTCCGTGTGAACAACAATAAGGCGATAAATGAGTAAAATAATGACCAGTGAGTTTTTGGAGGTGAAGAACATGTTTGTGTATGATACAACATGGTACCAAAAGATCAGCATTAACCGTACACATAAAAATGGAAGATCTTGTAACAAGATTGACGTAAGGATGCCGTACAACTCCGGATTACAACACCCTCCATCATCTTCAAACTCTGTTCTTTGCATCGGAAGACCAACCTGATCTCGTCTTGCTTTCGATGCAGTTAATACCATTGTAAATTGCAGTAAGCTCAACGACCATATCCCTAGTATTATGTAGCAAAGAAGCCTATTATATTTAACCTGAAAGAAAAAAATTAAAGTGTATACCAAAAGTGAGTTTCATAAAAAAATATATATCAAAGTGAAGAGATAAACATTGCATCAGATATTTTACATTGACGTAATCACACTGTCTTTGCTTGCAATTCAATGAAACATCGAAAACTTATGGCAAAATTTTGTAATGTTGTATGTTTCATATGCCCGCAATTCACGCACTTCAAATTCTAACCTTATTTTGTTTATTAAATATGACCTGATTTTCAACGATACACAAGATGCAAAGTTTAAATATGTACCCCTATTAATGACTATTGAACGAGTTGTCATGTCATATATTGTTACAGTAACGTCAAACAATTACTCTCTTTACATACAGTTTATAAAATACTTGCCTTTTCATAATTTTGAGTAGGTAATGGTTACAACACGTTAAAGTTAGGGGAAATTATGCTACTTTACTTAATATTTAGGCTAAAATGTCAGTTGAAAATATTTAATGTTCACAGTTTTCGAAACTAAGTATGGATGAAAAAAATAAAATAATAAATGCAATTATATAATGAATTTAAAGCTATAAAAATTATGGTGATTAGGTTCTAATATCCTCATTATTAAAATGAACAAAACAAATAATTCTTTAACAGATTTTTATTGTCATGTAACACTTTAATTACTCGTTAAAATGTTATAAGCACATTTACCCTACTGTCGAGATAATTAAAAATAGAGCACTAGTGATAATAAATTGCTCGTAAAGCGAAAACAATTGCCTGCAACTGAAATAATCTGAAACATTTATTTGTTCTATGATTCTGAAGTGCTTGAAGAGGTATCTTATGCCAAATAAATAGCAGAACTCCCATTGCCCTCTCATTTTTCAGGATCTTGAAGGTATAAGTATATGCTATTGAAGAATAAAAATCATTTTCTTGTCTCCCGGCAATTTATAATAATAATAGTTATATCTATCCGTATATGAAAAACCGAAACGGACATACAACCCAGGGCAATGTATTGTCTAGGGCGGGGCACAAAATCCCATTATATTACAAACACCTTAGTTACGACTCTGATTTAAAAAAATACATTATACTAATCTAGAGTTATAAAATGAATCTGTTATCAAAGGGATACTTAAGAGTGCAGTAGCGAAATAAGCAATCATTACATATACCATAATTTGTAGAAGCATGTCTGATAACGATAATGGTTGGATATTGCTCCAAAATTAAATGACGTGAAATACAGCATAATCACGGTTCTGTGATTTTAATGACTAAAATGTTAGCCAGAAAACTGTCTAAATGTTAAAACACTGAGAAGTAGATCAATAATGGGACAACTGACCTTCTTTCCCAATCTCCATCGCGAATATTGTGCTCATTTGCATGTTTATTTCATATATAAGTTTTTAAGTTTTTTTAGCACTTACACTTATAGCATAAGGTCGATAAATACTTATTATTTAAGAGCATTTTAAGTTATGCAATGTGTGTTCACCGTTGAATACTTATATAAATACATTTGTCGAGTAGGCAAAGAGCAAACGCTTCAATATTAAAGTAGAAACAAATCATTATTATTGTCATAGATTCATAATTTAAAATCCTAAAAAATTTGCTTTTTCAGAACGTAATTTTACATCGTCTTAATAAATTATTTTATAATTGTTGGATAGATCAAAAAAAAAAAAACTTCCAGTGTGAAAACAAATAAAATTACTGGCATATAATGGCACGAAAAATAGAAAATAAATATTGTCATAGAAAATTGACGCTCCCCGAAATTGCATATTTTCAATTTATTGCAATGCACGACAACCATTCAATAAGCCAATAATAGCAAAAGTGTAATTATCCAGTTTCCATGACACATATGAGTAGGAATACTTTTAATATGAACATGAAGAAGAAACCGTTGCAATTCAAAACGTATTAAATACTGTTTTAATGAACAATGACACAAGCATATGTCATTTTGCCTGATTAAACCGATTCTAATTGCTTCTTACAGTCATTTGAATTTTATCAGAATGATGCCAAATTTAAAGACTTATGACAAATGTTAACGGAATGCAAATGCATAATTATTGTGCGTTGAATAAATTTGTAATTACTGTATCAGATATCTTACCTCGTCCTCACTGAAGGCTTCATAAAATTCTACAATATCTGCAGCTGTACCAACGTAAACAAGAAGAAGCTGGGACAACTGGTCATGCGATATGGAACCCTTTGGCAAAATCCATCGACCCACAATAAGCATGAGCAACAGAAATTGTTCCAAAACTCGCAACCATAGGTCAGCTGAAAATGCTATAGGTATTGAAATGCTCAACTGAAACATAAAATGTTATTTATCAAACACACATATTAAAATATCAATAATAATAACACATTTGATATACTTAAAAACAATAGAAATGATAAAGAACAGCTGTTCAATTCCAAGATTATCACAGCATTGACTTCCTCTATCGTTTTTCAATTAAAACTTGTGCAATAATTGAACTGTTTAAAAAGTACATCACAATCACGGAGCCTAAGGTGACATTTTTCCACACTTCTTTTCCCGGAACTTAATTCGTTTTTACGAAATAATAATTCGTAATTACGAAATATTAAATCGTAATTACGAAATATTATTTCGTAATTACGAAATATTAATTCGTTTTTACGAAATATAAATTCGTTTTCACAAAATATTATTTCCTAATTACGCAATATTCATTTTAAATTTTAATTCGTTTTTACGAAATATTTATTCCTAATAACGAAATATTAATTTGTTTCTACGAAATATTATTTCGAAATTACGAAATGTTAATATTTATAAAGACAGTATTGAAACTAAGTTCCTGACCAAAGGCATGTAAATGCAATATAAATAGTTTTTTTTTCAACTTTACACTATTGTATATAAATTAAGATAATCGCCTGTCAAAAGCGTTGCCGCCACAGCAACGCTTTAGCAAGTGATAAAACACACGCTAAAATGGGGGTCCAAACACGGACAATATTTTTTCTGTTTCGTTTAGTCGATATTATTGAGTTTTGAAATAAAATATGATGTACATACATAAATTGTAAGGAAATACACTTTTTTCAAATTGATAAGATTAGTGAAAATATGGAGCCCCCCTTTTTAGTTTTACTAATGTATATGATAAAAGAATGTAATAATATAGCATGTTTCTTTTTTAAAGAGACATGTCAGAAAAGATTAATTAAAATTAAAACATTGCTGATGGGAATATGTATTTGACAAGGGAAGAAAAGAGAATATTTTGGAATGACTTCTTACTTCTAAACCCTGTTTGAAATATCATAACTTGAGAACCATTCGCTTTATAATCGCGAGGTTGATGCAGGCTTGTAAATGACCCCTTTGTGAATTATATTGGGTTTTTTTTGTCAAACTCACAATGACATTAAATAAGATTTCGTAAAAAAGAAATAATATTTCGTAATTACGAATAAATATTTCGTAAAAACGAATTATTATTTCGTAAAACGAATTTATATTTCGTAAAAGAGAATTAATATTTCGTAAAAACGAATTAATATTTCGTAAATTCGAATAAACATTTCGTGAAAACTAATTAATATTTTGTAAAAACGAATTAAATGCCGGGATAAAAAGAGTCGAAAATGTCACCACAATCACGCAATTAGACAATTACACTTTAACAGTCTTTGGATTCCTATGCAAAATAATGTGACAGGAATGACGAATCAATTATAATTTGTCGGAGCATTTTATAAATTACAGTGCATCTGCACGTTAAATATTTAATGCATTTAAATGACTGATCAGAACAACAATATTGATCAAAATACTACATCAAGTATGTTAATAATTTCTGTAAATATTATATTAATTACTTTGAAAAACATAAATCATCTAAAAAGAAATAAGGTCATTTAAGAAGGGGATTTCATTCGCTGATAAATAAGATATTAAATATCATAGGAAACAAATATTGTTACAGTCTAATCATAAGAAAAAAATAATGATTAAGATAAACCCATTGGCATGTTTAGAAAAAAAGTTCTCTATGTTTCTGCAAACAGCAAAAGTATTCAATTCGTAGTACTGTTTTGATACTGCCAATCCAAGGTTGTACCCATTGTGTTACATGCTGTATGATTTGTACATATTTGCACCCTCTTTCTTTTCCCGTCTGTATGTTGTTTTCCTTTTGCTTTTCATGACATTCACGTGACACATTAAGGGTTCCATAATAACTGTCATATTAACACATCTGCAGATATTTCTAAATTAAAACACATGCTATCACATACTAAATGTGGAATTCTGTTCAAACTGGTGCTAGGTTGCCTGAACGGTCGCTTGCACTTACCAGTACCCTCCATGATTAGGTTGAGTCAAACTGAGACATCAACATGTTCAATTTCTCCGTTACGGAAGTTCTTTATGGTTTCATAATTACTTTATATGCCCTCAAATTAAGATTTTCCTTAAACCTTGATTTTGGTTTTCATATTTCATTTATTCGCACCTATAACTCCCTTTAATGTCCTAAACATACATCAGTTTTTGCCCTTATCCTATTTGCTGTCCGTTAAGTGGCTATTTATTGACTTGATGTAACTTATTATTTTAGGGAGTTGTTTTAACGTGGTAAACTTTGTTGATTTTCATTTGCATTTTTTATGTTTCTAGAAACAGACTTAGATATAATGGATTCAAACAAGCTCAAAATGTGAACAAAGGACAACGTGTGGAACTGACGAACATATTTAAACCTTTATCAGATTTTACCTCTCTAAATTATGTATGAAACGTTTACATATAAATAAATACGAGTACTTACCCCAAAATCATCCAGGTTTAGATTTAAAGACTCTTTCGTATCATTTCCTCGTGCTCGACTTATGGTTACATTTGTCGAATTTGTTTCTGCCTGTTCCCTTAAGTTAAAAAATAATCGACAAGATATTTATGGAAAAACGGTGTATAATAAGACCTTAATAAGACTGGTTATATGAGTCAAAGTCACAAGTCATAAAAGTATAGCAAATATGTTTAAAAATTGTTAAACCAAAATCTTTTCTTCTTTAACAATAACAGATAATAAATTGGAAGGAACAAAATAATGACAACTTAATCTAAAAGTAATAAATGTATGTCATATAATTCAGACAATGAGGTATTGTAAGATGAGAACAGAAAAAATATATTCAATCAAAATTATCCGCAACAATGTTTAATCTGCAGGAGGATCTGCCAATTTGATAAAGCAGACAATTTGATAAAACGACTGATTGATTAGATATTGTACTCGCTCCTGATACTCCAGTTAATTATCTATTCTGGCTAGTTAATTGTAGCTGTCACATATATCATTATCAAATAGTTCAGTTGACTTGTAGTTTTAATTATACAGCGCAATTCATGTTTTTATACACAATTCAACCCTATAAATCCAATAAAGATAGTGCATTTATTTGTTAAAGTGTTCTGCACAAACGGTATTCAATATACAACTACACCTGATGCTACACATTATGTTATTTCCGCGAACTTTGGCGAGGCTGATCTTAATTTTCAAGCAAATGATGAAAGGTTGTCGCCGACGATGTGTTAAAACCCCAACATACCTGCTCAACAATTACTGTCAAATATTGATATCCGAAAGGCGAAAGAATATGAAGACAGCGACTTAAGTAATAAATTACGAAGTCAACATATAATATTGCATAAACGCCTTTTGTGAGCACTAAAAATTTAAGGCTATTTTGCTCGGGTTTAAGATGAGTTTCCGGGTTTCTGCAGATAACAAGTAATAACTTTATTCAATTCACCTTTCCAATTCCGGTCGTGCAGGAAGAAATTGTTCATAATATGCCCGCATGAAATAAAAAAATGTAAATAACTGCCGACAATATGGGGACAATATATTATTTATTTTTAAAATATCATTATTACCTAAGTGATATTCTCGCCTCCATTTCATGAAGCTCTAAGAACCAAATAGCCGGTACAACACTTCCTAAGTAGAAAAATACGCTTGGACAAAACCTGAAAATATAGATTTAAACAATGTTGATACAAGTTTTTATCGACGAACAATATTTATTGTACATTGTCAAGGTGTTCAAAACTTTGAATTAACATATTACATATTGACTTAGTTTTTCACCTAGTTAAATATTGATCATTTGTGACAATAATACATTTTTATGCTTTCGTGTAGAAAGGGAGTGATTTCATAAAATTCTTATCTTTTCCGTCCAGAAATAAGAAGTTTCGAACATTTGTATGAATGTTCTGAGCAATACAAATAACAACTGACTTGAAAATTGTTTCCAAAGATATTATCTTTCATCGCTAATAAGACAATGTGTTTTTATATGCACTTTTCATCGATGTATAAGTGTTTTAACCACATCAATCAACTTTTCGTTTCTACAACATTTAGAATCAACTATTTAAAACAGGACAGAACAGAACATAATGTTATTTCTAAAAAGTACGTGGACCGTTGATATACAACATGATATAACGTATAGATTAATACAGTAAGTTTCATGGCATTTTAATACATTTCGTACAATATTTACTACATATAAAACTAAGCAAAAATTTAAAAAATAGAGAAAAACAGAATCCCTAAAGAAAGCCCAACACTGCAAAATTGAAAATGTTGCAGGCTCGGTTTGATTGAGCCTGTTCATGGACGGTACTGGAAAGTGCCTGGAAAGTTACCGTCCACGCCCCCTAGCACCGGCTTAAGCAGAATTCAACATTTAAACACGAAAATGGTGAAATTTTGAATTTGAATTTAAAAACATCCGAAGATTCATTCAAAACTTATCATTACTTATCATTATATTTCAGCATTTTTTAAAACTTATTTACGCAGAAAATATATATAGTCGGCCAAATACTTTTAGTAAAACTTATCTCGAATTGTGAAATTTAAACATTTTATGTCTATAATTTATTTATTTATTTAATCACTTTTATTATTTTTTCTAACTTTTAAAATAAAATAATCCATGGACTACAAGTAAAAAATTCACAACCCGCAAATGAAATATAAGACATGGTCCTATTTTATATGAGTAATAAAAGTATGTTATATTCGTTTGTTTCGTTTTTTATTTCGAACAAATATTTGAGTTCTTAACGAACAAACCATTCCAAAAAGGCAAATGTATATGTTTTAATGAAGTATTATTTATAATAAAGTATATTACTATCTTATATGAATCACTATGAAAATTTCCTTCATGCTGGAAGACCATAAAGCAGTGAGCACCACGTAAACAAGTTGCCAGGTTGTAAAACACGTGCTGTATAAATTGTTATAACGTAAATATGTGGCTAATAATATAAGAAGGAAGTGCACGTGTTGAACGAGTTAATTGGAAACCTATTGCTTTATTGAAATGTTTATTAGAAGAAATATCAAGACTTGTTTATACTGAGTGGAAATAAAAAGTTCAATAAAAGTTTACAAATGAATGCAAAGAATTTTTATTAACAGACGTTTTCTTACTATTCCTCTGGAAACGATAAAATATCAGATTTAACTATCGGTCTGTTCTGAAGATGTTTAAACAAAGAACAAATTCAGCATCATATAAATGTAATTAGTTGCTTGATTTCTTTTGTAATTTCAAAAGAAAGAAAATGATTGATAGAAACATAACTCGGTTAGTCAAACACTGTAATTATCATGCAATAAGAATGGTTCACAGTAAAATCCTCATATCAGATTTGATATGCCTAATTAAAAAAACATCAATGTAATGAGATAAAAGACAAGAATTAAGATCAACAAGGCAAAAGCAACGTTCAAAGGACGCAGCCCCCGACACACCAAAAGCAGGGCACCCAGAAGGCACCAAACCAAAACCCGGAGTGGACACAAGGGCGGCGAAAGGAGAGGGACATGTAATAAGTGAAAAAATGCCATAGGTATATGATGAAATTCAATCATCAGGAGTTTGTTTAACTGCCTGTACGGTATCTGATAAGTTCAAGTTTATACTGCACAACATTTGCACATCTGCCTGACATCCTGCATTTGTACTGCGTTACTAGTAAGGGCTTTTTTGCATATTGTAACAGCATATTGGTAATTTCCGTGGATTTAGCTTTAAAGTGCTCTTTGCAACGTGCAAACTACATTCTTTTTTAAGTTAACAACATACTTTTTTTTTAAATTCATTAACAAATGTTCATGACAATTATCATGATTCTACAGGCATGCTGCTTTTCACTTGCGGCTTTTCACTTGCTCTGACTATTAATTTGAAAAATCACATCCCTGCATTTTGTCAGGCACTGGGAATTGAAAAAAATATATCTGTGATAAGAAACTAAACACAAAGGCATTCTGTCAACTAGAATGAGATTTTTTATAACTGATTAATGTTTGTCTTTTATTATTGATGCCGTCCCAATGCTATATTAGGTTGTTTGACAAGATTGCAATATATTTATAACATATAGGTTAATAAGAACAGAATTTTTATTTCAATTATTTTTGTCTTATGATTTTACGATTGTTTGATTGTTATTTTTTCTTCTCCTTTTTTTCTTTTTTATCCATAAGCATTAAAAAGATAAATATTAATGTTAAGAATACTTAATATAATTGTTCTTGAATGATAGTAACAAAGATTATTCTCATTTAGTAATAAAAATGATTTACATTGTATATACATAACTGATACATATTGATATACATGTATACCCGTTTTAAGCTGCACTTATTTGCTATGCAAGACTAAGAGTATGCTTTTTTCACGCGGATGTGCAATGAGCGCAGGACAAAAAGAACACTGATGTCCTTAAATTTTTAGATTTTCATAACATTCCGCCTTCGTTCTTGGTATCAAGTCTTTAATTTTGTTAAATAGCATATATTTGAACAAATTATGATAACAAAAGATGCTGCAAATGCTGCTTTACAAATGTATGGAATGTGTGTTTTGTTTTAGATTTGCCACATTACCATCCCGTCAAACTTAAGGATTCGAACCATTTAAATGATTGTTTTAGCAAGACTTGATTTTAAATTAAAAAAAAAACATATTTTAATAACATACTTATTTCTGCTTAAAATGATAAAACATGAAGAGTGATCCAAAGATATGAAGAGGACGTACTGAACAGGAGTTCGTCAACTAATTACATTCTCTAACATATAGATGATACACATTTGAAAATTAAAAATATATAACTTGGTACGGTGTACCTTTTTTGATCTTATAAATATGACTTAACATTTTAGATTAAACATCTTATGCAGTGCAATTTTACGTGACAAAGACTAATAAAATATATTTCGATTAATATCACGCTATGTACGTACATATTTAATAAAAATATTAAAAATACTGTATGAGTTCACTCATCCTTTTTTATTTATTCTATCTTTTTTTCATGTTTTTTTTGCCATTTTTGGAATAAGGGGTTGTGCCAATTATTTTACATTGCGTAATAAAATTAAAGCATTTAATTGAAGACTCAGCATATTATGAATAACTGTAATTCATATTTATTTTTGTTTTTGGGTCTAGGACGTACAGCTATAAGTAATATTCTGATTATATATGGATTTCATAACTGACAATTATAGAATACTTTTAAGGAATATTTTGGCTACAGAAAAACTCACATTCACGTTTATAAATATATGTTGGTTCTGTACAATTGTTGTTACAATACCTCAAAATACTTAAGGTTAAGTGAAAAATAACAAAGGCCGTATGTTACTTCATTGCTAAATTGAGTAAAAAAGATCAAGTAGAAATCTGCTTTTCTTACAGGTTGAAAAATGATGGGACATAGTGTCAATAAACTTTAGTTGAGTCAATGGAATGCTTTCTGAATGACTGACCCAGACTAATCGCAATAAACATTGCCAAGAAAATCATTCATCTTGGTAAAATAATTGTTTACATTATTTATATATAGTATTATTGTAAACTATATGAAAAAGATCTGCCGTATGTTCGTAAAGTTATAAATATATAAATGGTTTGTGCATGAAATAAAGTTAAACATATATACACTTTGTATAGGGCCATTGTTAAACTTTAATGGTTCCAGAAGGCAGAACAAATTCATAACACAAAGTCAGCCGGTAAACACACTATTAGAGACAATGAAAGAACAATATTTTGATTTTCTTTAAATTGTCGTTACTATAATATTTCTTCATTTCACTTGTAAATACACCATCTCTTAATACTGGTATATTAGCTTTCAATTTCTCTCTTCTGGATGTATTTTGTTGATGCATTGTTCGAGAATATGTGTATATTAACAGATAAGGAAGCTTGACTGGTGTACACACAGCACAGCTATTCTTGTTGTTTGGTATAATTTATTTTTTCAGACATGTATTATTTAATGTACAAGTTGTACAACTAAATAAATAATTAAGAAGACAAAGTAGCGTGTGCATACACTTTCTCCATCTGGCTCTGCTACAGTACAAGCAGACATATTATCTTCCTAATTGTTTAGAGTATTTATAGATAGCAGGTAAAAAGATTTAAGCTCTAAATATGTTTGTTTTTAGCTCGAAGATATTTGTTGAACAATAATTATAAGTTTTAAAGATGTATTTAGATAGTCTTATTTTCCATTAAAGTAGATTATTATTATTTCTGAAGTTTCAAATGCTTCGTGAAAAATGGGCAGAGCTTTTCTGTTTTTTAGAACATTATAACACCCAGCCTGGCTTAAAATAAAAGGTCACTCATGTAAAAATAAATGTTGTTTTGAAACCTTTCAAATATATCTGTTTCTACTTCATACTACGGTAAATGTAATTGTTTACATTAACTAATGTACAAATCTACATCAACTTATATACCTGCATCTACATACAACTAATTTACCAGCATCAACATTTGCTAATAGTACTAGTGTTTTTTTATCATATTTCGTACCAGTATATACATCATTAATTTCAAATTTGATTCCTGAAGTTTATATGATCATCATTCCATGTGTATTTTATTTACAAAATAGCCATGTTTTAGGAACACCTGTAC